ACTGACTGCACAAAAGGTACAAGTTCAGTCTATCTAATCACTATGTGTAATAGAGGCCCAGAACTTTCACTTTTTCAGTCCTTAGCCGTAGAACTCGTTCTAACATGTTACAGTGAAATGTGGTGTCACCCCACTTAGCTTAGTGCGTATAGTGCAGACTTTGATCAACGCTGAATACTAAGGACTGGAAAACCACATCAGCTATGCACTGGTGAGAAATTTATATATTCGCTTCATATCTGAAACATGGGCTTGCCATCTGGATTGCGTAATCTATAGCAAGTCTATATACTAGCGATTTTAGAGGAGACCCTGGCAATGACTGTTATAACTAATGAAATTTCTGTATTCCGGCTAAGAATATAGTTTTTTTCATTAAATACAGAAAGGTAATTGGTTATCTGAACAGTTTCTAGGGTGACCTATAAAGTTGTTTTTTTATATAGTTACATTATATCTTCAACGAACTTTTCTCAAACCTTATAAAGAGAGATCGTTATACTCATAAACTCTTAATAGTTGCTACTGTATATTCAGGTGATATCTTAAGGTAATCACCTATTAAGACTCTTAAATCCCCGTACTCATAAATCTTAGGGAATTGATTAACAATTCAGATTATGGTAAGTAATCAGCTTAAATAAGTCTAAACTTGTGTTAGTTCTTATGGACTAATTTACTAAATTATTTTACTAAGGTGTTTAAATCCGACTGACTTTAAAGGTGACACCCTTTCAAAGACTATTTGAACTCTCAGTCTCTCTATTCGAATTGGAAAGGTAGTTTTCTCATAAAATACACAACTCTAACTGCCTACTTTAGTAGTTGCTAGTGTGACATTTCAACCTACTCTCAAATCTTTTAATGAAGTTAATATGTTATCAGTATTGACAACTAATTAAAGAAAATGAACTTATGATCGATTAGAAAATTATCCAAATGCTTTGGTTACTTAACTAGACCAAAGATAAAAGGTAAACCATGAAGATGGTGATTCCCGGATAAATAAACACAATTTCCGAGTGAGTGGCAGCCCAGCAAGCACACATAAGCAGCTTTTAAACTTCAAAGTGGCCTTCCTCCACCGAAGGACAGATCTTACACTTAAAGATCAATCATCTTTAATATCTATCTGACCGATAAAACAAAATACTAAGACTTTATATTTTCAATTTCACTAAACAATTTAATGTCTTTCTAGATGATTCGTTTTCTTCATAAACACTTATTTCCGAGAAGTAATTTGGCAGTTGCTTCAATACTACGGAATGCCACAAATCTTTATCAACATCATTCAACAACTATATAAAGACGCCATACGCCGAGTAATTCACAATGCAAAGCTGAGTGACGCCTTTGAAGTGAAGACAGGAGTAAGACAAGCTTGCTGCTTACTATCACGGATGCTCTTCCTGACTGTGGTCTACTGGACTGGAATGGACTGGATCATGCAACAAACTGTGAGGAGCAAGAACACGGGCATACACTGGCTGGATCAATGAAAAAAAAAGCCTGGGAGATTTCGATTTCGCCAACGATGATGATTGATGTCTAATGTCTTGTAGCACAACTCGAAGATGTACAGGCGAAAAGCAACGAGTTGACAGAACAGGCAGCGAAGGGGTGGCGAAGACGGGACTTCCTTCAGGCGAACGTAGAGAAGACAGAGGTAGAGGTGATGAAGATACCCAACTAACAACAACCACGACAACAACGACAAGCACCAATCACCATGAACGGGAGAAATCTACAGGAAGTTGTCCATTTCACCCCATCTACCTACCTACCTACCTACCTACCTACCTACCTACCTACCTACCTACCTACCTACCTACCTACCTACCTACCTACCTACCTACCTACCTACCTACCTACCTACCTACCTACCTACCTACCTACCTACCTACCTACCTACCTACCTACCTACCTACCTACCTATCTACCTATCTACCTATCTACCTACCTACCTAGGCAGCATCATTTCAACAACAGGTGGCACCTGAACAGATGAGGATTTAAAAGCCAACCAGCCAGCCAGACAGCCAACCAGGATCGGAAAGACAGCAAGACAGGCCTTCCTTGATTAACCCGAAATCAGTGTGGAGATCTACTGCACTACACTACACTCAGCATAAAGTGTGAACAATCTCCGAATTTCCAACACTAAATCAGTCAAATCACTGCTTGTATATGGTTCAGAAACTTGGCGCGTTACGAAAAGCGTTTCTAACAAACTACAGACGACATTCATGAACAGCTGCCACCTACACTCACTCGATAGTGAAGATGGAGATCAGATGGCGAGAATAGTAAGAATAAGCAACAAAGAACTCTGGCTGGCTGGCTGGTGATGAACCAACCAAGAACCTATCAGCAGGAGAAGAAAGTGGAGATGGATTAGACTGGGCATACACATAGAAGGCCGACTGGGGACATGACGCACCAGGCTAGGTGCTCGAGTGGAATCTAAAGGGTAAATGACGAGTTAGATGTCCGAGGCGAGGGTGAGATGTTGTGAAGAAGAAATGAAAGCTTCTAAGCAGTCGTGGAGCTAGGTTGAAAAGACTGTAGAGAAGAGAGTGGCATGGAAGCGCGCTACTGAATCTCTATGTTCCACCAGGAACCCAAGGGAAAAATAAATAATAATAAAATAATACTTATTTCCTGTTGGCTTTTTTTTGATTGATCACAGAAGGTTAAATTGAGAATTTGTAAAGAATTTCTTCGATGAGTTGATTTTTGTTTAAAATCTTGTAACAAAAACACCTGTCATGTAATAATGCTGGCCACTTGAAGGTTGATTAATAACCGTAATGATTAACTGATACTACTCACAAACCTAGTGAAAGCATACTATTTATATGCTGTGTAAATTTAGTCGAGTTGAAGGTAACGTTTTTGATATGTCAAAGTTAGAGTAGTTATTAAACTATTTATCACACTTTATTCTTACAAAACAATCAAGTTGATTGATTATTCAACAAAGGTTAAGGTTTACAATAAGATCTAACATAATGTAACAGAGAGGAGGTAAGTTGGCTCTATAATGACTTCAAAAGCTCTAATAGGAACACTCAGCTGAATGTTCAAAATACCTCACTACATTTATCATAATATGACACAGGGAGAGGTAAAATTATATTAAAACGTAAACTAATGATAGAAAGGTAACAGCATAAAAGTGAAAGCTTCTTAACAGTTGACACTGATGGATGAAAAGGTTAAAAAAGGTGTGAAGATTGCATAGTTAAGGTTTCTTTACGTCAATATGAATGAAACAATAAGTAACTGAATAAGGAATGAATACTAACAACTGTTTCCTAACTGATATCTACCCGTGATGCGAATCACTTTCAAGCCAACCAATCCTCCAAGGCCACTCTCCAATTCACATTATTAGTTGCTTTGGAGATTAATTTCTCCAAGTGACCTACGCAAACAAATACTTGTTGATGGTATTGAATGATCGTGACACTACAATGCGAATTGACAGGAGCTCGAAGAGGTTTGACCATTGAATTACAACCCAGTGGATGAGTATTAATGTGTACACCGTAGGATTTAACGGTTCTCAACTTGATGAGTCGGTGGTGTACACCTCAAAGGAGTTCTAAGTTAAAGCAGAATGGCTGTTCACTACTCAAAAGATTTTCAAGTGACATCGATTCATATAGAAAACTGCTTGAAGATAAATCATTGCTTACAAACCACCAATTTAATAACAAATCCATTCATCGAATGGAGTAAGCTGGGAAGGAGAATAAGTATGAGTCATGAAAAAAAATTATAATCATAGTTGATATAAAATTTTCTTTCTGGTTATTCAAGCCACAATACACTGAAAATGCGATGAAAGCAGCATCGAAGCAATCACCATTTCCTTCTGCACACAGAATCCTAGTTTGTAAAAAGTTGAATTGTTCAAGTTCGTGTAACTTAGGTCAAGTGTCAGTTTGTTGTGATGCCTCAGTTTTGTATCAAACATTGTTATTGATCTGAACATTTTAACGTGTCATTCCCACAACATTTTCTCTACGATATGACTAGAAGTCTATTTTCTGCCCACATTGTAATGTGAATCGCTGATTGGTTAATCTTTACTCTTACTATGCAAATGTCTCAAATTGGGGACAAGGTTATTTTTCACGTGTGTACACATTCACGTGATTTGGGATTGATTTATCATTACATTCTCGGAGCCATAAACTCTCTCACCATGCAGCTTCGTACTTCTCTCTATTCTTCCTGGGGTTGCAGTCAGTGGCTCTTGCGTGCCAAGTTAGCTGTCAGCTAAGCGCGCCTATAATACTCGTTCAGGAATACATATATATATATATATATATATATATATATATATATATATATATATATATATAACCGTAAGCGTTCGAAACCATAACACAGTTATCTATGAGAACTATACTCAGTTTTTGAAGTGGTCACAAACTCACAAACCACAGACCAAGTGAGTTCCGATGGCGATTTCACACAGTGTCATGGATTTACACGCCTGAGGAACTCAACGATACTTTAAGCGGAAACTTAAACATAATAGTCATTAATCGGTAGTTTTTAAGTTGGTATCACCCTAACTTTACCTTGAATATATTACGGAATGATGTTTAGACAACTACCCTCTCAATTTCAAAGCTGATTCTGATAATTCAGATCATGAGTTTAATGAATCATAGTAACGAAATGAATGAATATCATCTGGTGCATGCATATATTCCAACAGTGTTAGTAATTAGAAAGTAAGATTATTGATGAAATATATCAGTTAATTATGTACAGTAATGGGACTGAAACAAATCACAATCTGACCTTGAGACAAGAAATAGTCAAACAAGACTAATGTGAAGGTCAAGGCTGTTTCGACAACTTCCAAACAAGGCTACAGTTGCATACTGTCCGACATTAATTTGATCACTTGATATATTTGAAGATTTCACATTATACATCCCTGTTGAGCTATATTTTTAAAAAAAAATCTATTTCAGATCGTACAATTTCGTCAACAGTTATATGTACGCTATCCCAAGTATACATATCACGATCACCTTCATGTTATATACATATTTCATGTTTAGAGAAATAATGAAACCAGAAATTCTTTATTTCACCCATATATTCAATATTCAACTTCCTATCTGTTTGTTTTAATAGTTGTAGATTTCAAAAAATTTAAAAATTGTGTTTACATTTGTATGTTTATTAGTGTATACACTCGATTTCCTTTCTTGTTTAGAAGAAATACATTAATTGTACTATTTCGTTAAAATTTCCTAAACTTTTCGACTATACTATACTCATTTCAGTTAGTCCTAAATCATTACTACAACAAATATATATTTTATTGTTATTTCATCTTTGTTATCAATTCATAGTTTAAAATTATTCACATATCATATCACCAACAGAGTTTAACCTAACCGTGTGTAATAATTAAATGTCCATCAGAAAAACATGGAATGACGTTATTTCCATATGAAGAATAGAAAAGAGTTGTAAAGTTTAAAACACAGAACGTGAATTATAAGGTGGTCATCGTGAGAATTAACAGTCTGACTTGGCGGTCGACTTTCTAGGTTAAGCAGAAATAGTTATACATTAATCCCTAAGTTTCTTTCATTCTCCAACCGATGTTCAATGGTGAAAGTATGCACCTACAGAAATCAATCTGAGTAACACTGAAGATATGCGTAGACTTTGAGGGAGTAGAGATGGTTGGCTCCAACATGTGTTACGTATGCCTAGTCACCGATTGCCTCGTCACACAATGTTGGCCGAAGTAGGCCCAGGCTGGAAAAAGGCCCGAGGTGGCCAGACTAAAACATGGAACCAATGTATGAAGTGCTTGACTGTTGGTTTGAGCCATGTAGGGCGATGTAGACTAGCCGGTCGGGATTCAGGGGATAAGAGTAACCAGTGGTTAGAGACTGACTCTAGGTGATATGGCTGAGAACCGATATCAGTGGCTCAGATGTATCTCCACACACATTATCCTCATCTTAACGACGCTATACTGAGTCTCACCATTTTCTCATTCTTCCTTTCTCTCTTTTAGTACTCTTTATTTCTTTTGACTGACGTTTCTTATCTTCATCTTCACTACCATTCTACTTGTTTTACTGATATGAGGTGTGGCAACTCGGAGGGTTACGCAGTAATGCCTGGTCCTATGTTGATATTGATTTCTCCTGTCAAAATTTCTAAATACAATTTCAATACACAAATCATCTATCTGCTTTATTTCTCAACTCTTATGCTAACTTCAAATTGCCACAGTAATATGCATCACATATAAACACCTTTCAGTCAAACTATTTATGAAGAACTGATTGATTTTCATCCATCCAAATCAACATAGGATCAGGCATTACTGCGTAATCCTCCGAGTTGCCACACCTCATATCAGTAAAACAAGTAAAAGGCAGTGAAGATGAAGATAAGAAACGTCAGTCAAGAGAAGTAAAGAGTTCTAAAAGAGAGAAAGGAAGAATGAGAAAATGGTGGGATTCAGTATAGCGTCGTCAAAATGATGATAATGTGTGTATACATCTGAGCCACTGACATCGGTTCTCAGCCATATCACCTAGAGTCAGTCTCTAACCACTGGTTACTCTTATCCCGCCGACCCTAACCACTCAGTCTGCATCGCCCCATATGGCTCAAACCAACAGTCAAACACCTCATACATTGGTGACATGCTTTGGTCTGGCCACCTCAGGTCTCTTTTCAGCCTGGGCCTACTTCACCCAACATTGTGTGACGAGGCAATCGGCGACTAGGCATATGTAACACATGTCGGAGCCAACCATCTCAGTCGATGAAGGTTTATAACCTCGTCAACTAACTTACCTGTACTCCCTAAAACTCTACGCATATCTTCAGTGTTACTCACGTGGTGACACCACGGAATATGGCCTATACTACGAAGGCGACGATGATCAAACACCTGAAGCCTTCTCATGTCTTCCACCTTGAATGGCCATGTTTCATAGCCATACAGTAGAACAGAGCGGACTGCTGTGCAGTACACGCCACCCTTAATAGGCAACCAGATATCACGCTGGTGCAAGTTGGCAAAAGCCAGTAGAACCCTTTTGTATCCGTGCAGAGATTTCATCGACCACTGAGCCACCAGAGCTGATCCTACTTCCCAGATAAGTGAAGTGGTCGACACACAACCACTACACTCTCTACTCTTAGCCGTGGCGCCGTTGAAGCAACAGTTTCCAATTGAGTGGTGAGAAACGCATGCCAGACATTCTTTAATTGCTACTCAGTGTTCAGAAGACTCTTCACCTAGCAGGACTATGTCATCTGCATATTCTAGGTCTAACGACAATTCCCCTGTGATTAGGTCAACTTCTGTGCAGTCAGGTGACGAGAGAGAGACCTCCATGAGAATAGCCATGATAAAATTGAATAAGAATGGAGACAGTGGACACCCTGGACGGACATCACTCGATGAGCATAGCACCCTGAACATCTCACCATAGGCTCTAACACACCCACAAGTGTTCGAGTAGAGAGCCTTCAGCAAGCTGATGTACTTACTTGGTACTCCTTCCAGTGAGAGAAATTGATCAACGGAGTCGAATGTCGCCTTCAGGTCAAGAAATACAGCTAGCGTCGGTAAGCGTGTCTGTGTTTCAAAACCTGACGCACCTGCGTCTAAGTCCTGCCTGGTTTTCTCGGGCTAGCTGTCCCCGAGCTCCACTCAGGCGTCAAAAAAAATGACAACAGCTCATGTTACAGATATGAAGTTGGGTGCAACGAAAGACATTTAAAGTTAACTTGCAAGTCGTAGGAATTAAGAGCCATGGTGAATTCACCAACACTTCTAGTTAGCACACATTTTCGACAAATTTATAATCACTGTTTCACAAGCGATCTAGTGTAAGGTCACGACATTGTATCTTCAGGAGATCTTGTAATGCTTGGGTAGGCTGTAGGCATTTGTAGCAAATCAGGTGCTAAACACGTTATCTGTACACCAGTAATAATTCTTGTCCTTATCTAAAGTTTTCTACACCCTGCATCTCAGTAATTTTATGAAGTTGTAGCAACTACTAAGATATTTTTGAGTAGCTCGAAATGTCTAATAACATTTTATACTGGATGTCTAGGCGACTGCCATTAATATTCTGAGCAAACCAACGAATAATCATCTTCATTCGAAATTACAAATCTTCCCTACCATCGCAAAGTTAAGTTTCCCAAGTCCTATGCAATAATTAAAGACAGAAGTGTACAACTAAGCATGCATACTTTTAGGTTGAGTCAGAGCGTTATTGGCAAATTGTATGACCAAAATATGCATCCATCCGAATAAAATTCTTAACGTCTTAGCTATTGTCCAACCCAAAATACGGTTATTATTACAAAATAAGCTGACGTCTCCCATATACAGTTGGATATGTAGTGAACTTTCATCATTAAGTAAGCATTGTAGTGATTGTTTAACAAATCAGTGGTGAGAATTCGCCAAAAACCTCGAGAACAAAAATGTTTCCAGCCTGCATCATACGACTACGACACTTCAATAACCAAACGAATTATGCCACGAAAAGTACAGTTTTACCTTCACGACGACTTCTGTAACAACTCCATAAACACCCATAAGTTTCCAATGTGTCACTCGAAATTGAATTAAAGATGCTTAACAATATACGACTCTTGTGAAGGAGTCCTTTGGAAAGGTTAACATTTACTTCCTTTTTTAAAAATTCTTCAAGGATTGTTAGATACACATAGTATAAGCAATATGTGACGGAATAATCACACTTCTCACAAGAATAACTAAGAAAAGCCTTATAATGAGCGAATAAAAGTATCAGTTTTCACTACATTATGTTTGGATTCAAACTGCTTGTGAATAAAAATAATACTATTAGAGGATAGGTTGTCGCGTGCGATCTGGACAAATACAGAGACTAACCACTAGTCACTGGTCAGATACCCGCGTATGAGATTGAGAAATAATACGATTTGGTCGCCAAGTAGAAAATCGTACATTTGTTGTTGTAATATGACGAACGGTCTGGAGGTTTCACCATGTTCCTTTAGACAAACAAGTCTCTGAAAACCATAAAGGTCAGGATCCATGTCAAATATTGTTGAACCATAGGCTATTGATTTTGTAGGGGTGCGTGTTACCATTCCGTAACGTTTGATCAACCCTACTTAACTTGATGTGCTCTAGTACCTACTTAACCAGTACTTTACCTAACGTGTAAGTACTGATAACAAAACACCCTAAGCATCCGGAGGTAAGCTAGAGATTTATTTAGTTAATATAATTTAAACTATTTATTTTAGCCCTAGTTATATTTTGGTGCCAGGAAGGTGCACTACAATTTCATGTCTCACCTGAAGATCAGTTGATCGACTAAATTCCGTTCAAAATCTGTTTACGGGATTTCCCCTTCGAATACTGAACTCTATTTCTAATTGTTCTACTGTTTTCTACCGCCTATCGAACCACCATACTAGTTGTTTTCCACTGACAAAAGTTCTTGCAATAGTTAGTTAAATATTGTTTCGAACCGGTTAGCCAATATAGCTCAAAATAATGTCAAGTTGTAGATCAAATGAAAATATGCATAAATAGGCAGAAAAGAGTCTGTTACAAAATCCATAGGCTATTAAACAGGTTACACTGTATTCTTGCCACTTCCACAACAATTTTGTTGTAGTTAAGCAACATATTAAAAAAAAACTCTCTATAATGCAGCAGTTGTACAAGTTTTGACGATTATGAAAATTCCCGTATAGTAAAGGATACGACGTGAATTTTTGACTGTCTTAAGTGTTATTGCTTGTATCATACCGTCGCTGATTGGACCGAATTGATAGGTCTCTATTAACATATGGGCTCCTGTGCGGATGCCTCGACGTACCTGTGTTCTAATTAATTATGGCGAGTACCAAATAGGACGAAATGCGCATCCTGCATTTAACTGATAGCCACTATCCATCTTTACTACAACTAGAACACAGGTATATCGAGGCATCTGCACAGGAGCCCATATACCAATAGAGACCGATCTTAGTTCGGTACAATCAACGATGGTGTAATAAAAGCCGTAGCACTAAAAACTATACCCATTGAACAAGAAGTGGCTATCGTGGCTCGCTGGTGTAGTGGATAACGCGTTGGCGTTTCAAGCGACCGCTCCAGAGTCGGAATCCCGGTGGGAACAAGATCACTCACTGAAAGGCAGGTAAATTCAGCAGACGAGTCCCAAACAGGATGGAATGCACATCCTGGATTCCAATACAAGCCAATATCCATAATTACTGAAAAATGTCTCGCTTAAAATTAGTTGACTCTAGAAAATGAGTCCTCTCACATTTTCGAGAGAAGTTTAAAATCATCAGAGGAATACACCCGTCAACATTGAAAGATCAACGAAAAGATTTTTGACCAGAGTCGAATCAAAATGCAAAATGAATCCAAATAGTAGAAAATTAATGAAGGCAATAGTAGCACTTTTTAACTGAATGCCAGGAGTAGGTTTCGATAACACAGAAGTCCAATGAATCTAAGAATAAAGCGTGGAAGAATGGATTAATCAACTAAATTTGATTTAACATAGTCTCGCATCAACCAAAATATTTCAGAACATTCTACCTGTTTGTCCTTTGGGTTCTTAGTAGAACATAAGGCTTCAGTAGCATGTCGCCATTTCACTCTCTTCTCCTCACTCTCCTTAACCTAGCTCCAAGACTGCCCAGAACCTTTCATTTCTCCCTCACACCATCTCCTCCATCTCACCCTCACCAAGGACGCCCAACTCGTCCTTACCCACTTGGCTTACACTCGAGGCACTCACCTGGCTCGTGATGTCCCCAATCGGTCTTCTCACTGTATGACCACTCTAATCCATCTCCACCTTCTTCTCCTGCATATCTGTTGGGTGATGGGTTCTTGCTTGATTCGTTGCCAGTCAGCCAGAGTTAGGGTTAGGGTTCCTTATTCTCTCTAACTCTCTAACCATCTGATTTTCAGTATCGAGTGAGTGTAGGCGGCAGCTGTTCATGAATGTCGTCTGTAGTTTGTTAGAAACGCTTTTCGTAACGCGCCAAGTTTCTGAACCATATACAAGCAGTGATTTGACTGATTTAGTGTTGGAAATTCGGAGATTGTTCACGCTTTATGCTGAGTGGAGTTGAGTACAGTAGATCTCCACACTGATTTCGCGTTAATCAAGGAAGGCCTGTCTTGCTGTCTTTCTGATCCTGGTTAGTAGTCTGGCTGGCTGGTTGGCTTTGACATCCTCATCTGTTCAGGTGCCACCTGTTGTTGAAATGATGCTGCCTAGGTAGGTAGGTAGATAGGTAGATAGGTAGGTAGGTAGGTAGGTAGGTAGGTAGGTAGGTAGGTAGGTAGGTAGGTAGGTAGATGGGGTGAAATGGACAACTTCCTGTAGATTTCTCCCGTTCATGGTGATTGGTGCTTGTTGTTGTTGTTAGTTGGGTATCTTCATCATCTCTACCTCTGTCTTCTCTACATTCACCTGAAGGAAGTCCCGTCTTCGCCACCCCTTCGCTGCCTGTTCTGTCAACTCGTTGCTTTTCGCCTGTACATCTTCGAGTTTGTGCTACAAGACACTAGACATAAATCATCATCGTTGGCGAAATCCAAATCTCTCAGGCTTTTTTTCATTGATCCAGCCAGTGTATGCCCGTGTTCTTGCTCCTCACAGTTTGTTGCATGATACAGTCCAGTCCAGTTCAGTCCAATCGACCACAATGAGGGAGATGATTGGTGATAGTAGGCGGCAACCTTGTCTTACCTGTCAACCTGTTTCCACTTGGAAGCCATTTCTGAGATTTCCATTGTGAATCACTTGTCACGTAACATCATCATATGTGATATATAGCTTCTGTAGAATGAGGTTGATAAAGGTTTGTGGTAATAAGACCTTAGTGTTGAAGCAGCTGCCTGCCAAATTACTTTTCGGTCGACACTATCGAAGGCCTTTTCAAAGTCGAAGAAGTTGCGATAAAGAGTTGACTGCCATTTTGTGTTCTGTTCTATAATGATTCGTAGCGCTGCAATGTGATCTCCACATGATTTTTACTTCCTGAATACGGCGCATTATTTAGTCTTTCTAGGATGATGCGGCTTAATATTTTGCTTGGGGTGGTCAGGAGCATGATTCCGTGCCAGTTCTTTCAAAGACTTAGGTCTCCCTTCTTCAGGAGTTTGAAAATCGGTAGGTACCTCTCTTTCCTTGCAAACTTTCTGCAATAGTGGTGTCAGCATAAAGAATGTAAAAACAATGGCTAGATATTCCACACTCAGAATATAAAGAAAGGCGTGGATGTAGTCAAAACATAAAATTACACTTTCCAAGTGAAGATCCGTATACTGTTAGAAGTTCAAAAGCTTAGCTACAAAGCCAACTACTGAAAATAACATATTTTCGAAAAATTGAAGGAAAGAACTAAAGGTGTTGCTGAAGAAAGCTCAGATGAGGATAGTTCATGGGGAAAATGTCTTGAAAACATCGTGATTACTGATAATGAAAGGAATTATGTAATACTATTTACTATATGAAAGTTTGGTTTATTCACTTTTAGAATGAACACAATAATGTTAGCTGCTGCCTTTTTACTGGTTCTGTATTTTATGTAACACGATTTTGCATGACATGACATTTTGTAAGAATCTATCCACTACGATATGTGATGATTACCTGTAATTATATTTGATATTATCAAGACAGTATCTAACCAAAGATGAATGAAATGAGACAAATTGACGATGGAGATAAAAATTCATACTCATCATCTGACCGAAGGGAACATTATAAAAGACAATTTCAGTAGTCAGTTATTCTTCACAATCATGTCAAAAAACGTAGCCTATTCTCTCAATCATTTTAACAAATAACCCGATACATTTTAAAATCCCATAAAATATGATCTGTTCCATAAAATAAGCAATGCTACACTGAAACAATCGGTAACAATACATTACACTGTACAAATAAAACAGAAGTGTTCACAACACAAACTATCAAAATTCATTATCTCTCCATAAAATTCAACATTAACATGAATTAGTCTAATTCTCAAATTGATGATGAAATACTGTAATATAAAGATATCGAAAAACAAACAAAAGTAAAATAGCATAATAATAATAATAATAATATCATAATAATCATAATAATGTGATGAGAAGAGTATTTATTCTCTTGAATTAGATGAAATTGTATGAATTAATTTATGTCCATTTTCAACTAATTCTGTAAGTGTAACACGACCACGTTTTTCAATGAATTGAGCAACAGCTTCATATTCATCATTTGTAATATGAATAAATTTACCTCTATCATCAAGTACTCCAGTTAATCGACCAGATGATATCAATGATTTAACCTTTTCTACACAGTTCTTGAAATAAATTTAAACAAGTAAAATAAAATAAAAGGTAGTGAAAAAATTTCAACATATTAATTAATCTATAAGTAGTTGCATATATATTAATTTCTGAATAGAGTTATTAAAACATAACATCAATCGTTACCTTCAAATCTATAAACTTTGTTCATAAATCGAAACTGATAATTTCATATCAGACTGAACAGCAACCTTAATTCGATGAATAATAATGAATTGACTGCTTACCGACCTGTCAATTACCTTTAAAGCTGACTGTTTGCTATCTAGAAAACCAAGGTTATATATAGTTGTGTTATCTCAGTGACACTTTTTGTTGATAAGTGGACTGTTTACAGCATGGAATAAATCAGATTCAACTTTTAAACATAGACTTCTAATTCAAAGTAGAAAAAAGTAAAAGCGTCCACAGATGATGAATGAAAGTACACATAACAAACTAACGGATATAGCAGTCAACTCTTTATTGCACCATCCTCGACTTTGAAAAGGTCTTCGATAGTGTCGACCGAAAAGTAATTTGGCAGGCAGCTGCTTCAACACTAACGCTTACTACCACAAACCTTTATCAACCTCACTCTACAGAAGCTATATATCACATATGATGATGCTACATGACAAGTGATTCACAACAGAAATGGCTTCGAAGTGGAAACAGGTTGACAGGTAAGACAAGGTTGCCGCCTACTATCACCAATCACCTCCCTCATTGTGGTCGACTGGACTGAACTGGACTAGACTGGACTGTATCATGCAACAAACTGTGAGGAGTAAGAACAGGGGCATACACTGGCTGGATCAATGAAAAAAAGCCTGAGAGATTTGGATTTCGCCAACGATGATGATTTATGTCTAATGTCTTGTAGCACAAACTCGAAGATGTACAGGCGAAAAGCAACGAGTTGACAGAACAGGCAGCGAAGGGGTGGCGAAGACGGGACTTCCTTCAGGTGAACGTAGAGAAGACAGAGGTAGAGGTGATGAAGATACCCAACTAACAACAACCACGACAACAACAACTAGCACCAATCACCATGAACGGGAGAAATCTACAGGGAGTTGTCCATTGCACCCCATCTACCTACCTACCCACCTATCTACCTACCTAGGCAGCATCATTTCAACAACAGGTGGCACATGCACAGATGAGGATTTAAAAGCCAACCAGCCAGCCACACAACCAACCAGGATCGGAAAGACAGCAAGACAGGCCTTCCTTGATTAACGCGAAATCAGTGTGGAGATCTACTGTACTCAACTCCACTCAGCATAAAGCGTGAACAATCTCCGAATTTCCAACACTAAATCAGTCAAATCACTGCTTGTATATGGTTCAGAAACTTGGCGCGTTACGAAAAGCGTTTCTAACAAACTACAGACGACATTCATGAACAGCTGCCGCCTACACTCACTCGATACTGAAAATCAGATGGTTAGAGAGTTAGAGAGAATAAGGAACCCTAACCCTAACTCTGGCTGACTGGCAACGAATCAAGCAAGAACCCATCACCCAACAGATATGCAGGAGAAGAAAGTGGAGATGGATTAGAGTGGTCATACACTGAGAAGACCGATTGGGGACATCACGAGTCAGGTGAGTGCCTCGAGTGTAAGCCAAGTGGGTAAGGACGAGTTGGGCGTCCTTGGTGAGGGTGAGATGGAGGAGATGGTGTGAGGGAGAAATGAAAGGTTCTGGGCAGTCTTGGAGCTAGGTTAAGGAGAGTGAGGAGAAGAGAGTGAAATGGCGACATGCTACTGAAGCCTTATGTTCTACTAAGAACCCAAACGACAAATAATACTAACAAGAAACTACGGGTGGGGTGAGTTTAAACAATTGGGGTAGTTAAGAGTAATATAAATCAAAATTCAGTTTGGGGGTTTGTAGGGATTTATTTAATTTAAAGTGGTCTTCATCACGAACCAACCAAAGTAGAGAAACGTAGGCCGTATGATTCCGACTGTAGACCAATGGGAGCTAACCTGCTCGCTGCAAAACCTGGAGGTCCTGAGTTCGACCCCTGGTAGAGTTATGAGTGCGAAAACTGAGCCCTATGCTAGGTCGAAACAGCTGTTCAGCGCTGTCGACGGACCTCCAAATGACATTAGTCACTGGTGAACATCACCTTAATATCAATAGTGAGTGAAAAGTGGATTGGTAATCAGACGGAAATGAAAGTGAGAAATAATTGCAGCAGGAATAAAAAATTACGCAATTCACTCAAGCATACAAACAGAAAATGAAATAAACGAGCAAAAAAACCAGATTATTACATACAAATGGAGTTCGAGATGATTACATCGGATTAGTGATTACAGGGCAAAAGGAAGAGCGAGTATTGGAACAAACTTTTACAATACGCATAACTATAGTTTCACGATAGTAGTGGTAACGGCTTTAGCTGTCTGGAGGAGACGAAGGCGCAACCTCACATGATAGTTGATCTTGGATTCGATGAACAACTGAGAAAGATATCCTACTATCCATTGAATGAATAGTCTCAATCAGGTATGCTTGTGTGAAAGTAGTGAGGGCTTTTACTTCACACCTACACAACTATGGTGTTCTTCTACGCGTTTAGAAAGAACTTTTATAGTACGCCCGTCTGAGATAACTTGCTTTATAGGGCCAGTCACACGTATTTGTGCCCACTGATTTGGACAAATGAGGCACTCCTCCTTTTCCACTCTAGCTTGGAATGGTTCTACTTGTGAGGCAGATTTTAGAGGTGGCAACATAGATATTTCTTAACCTTATTTGCACGTAATTTGCCACCAATACTGGGACAGTATCGTTGTACTACAAAACCATAAATAATGGTTTTTTTGTAACTGTTTGCACTTCTGACAGACGATAAAATTTAAAATCACCTTCCGAAATTAACCACATTTTTCTATTGTAATCTCACTAGTTTAGTAGAACCGCTCCATTCTTTTAGTCGACACGCACAATAGTCAAATCTTTACTAACGATTGGTTTTAGACTGTTTCCCGATGCCTCTAAATTATTACACATATATCATTGAATCTAGTTTCTTGATATCGCTAACGATTATCTGCAAGGATCGATCTTTCATTGTCTAATTTGAAACTCCAAAATGAAAAGTAATCGTATCGTCGGAGATACCAGATTCTTAAAATGTACCTATGCCAAATATCGCAAAATTTGTTTTGATTTAAGCTTGGCTCAAATCTAAACTAGAAAGACTAGGAATATATCTTTCAGGTTGATTCGGAAATTTGTTTTGTAGTGAATGCTTGTCAAACGTTTTGTTCAATAATATTTTCCATTTATCCGTCTGTTTCATCCATGATTTCCTCCACATAATCCGTGCGACTTTCCTTAATTGTAGCTGAAGTAAATTTACTCTATAGTTAAAAATAGTTGAATATATATATGTGACACAATAACTAAGGGAAAGGTGACTATAGGCTTACCATTTAAAACACATGAGGAACATAATCTTCAGATACACCATGAATATAAAGTTTATCTTTAGGGGATGACTTTGAAGGTGAATACATGCAGTTGCAATGGGTTTCTCTGGGAACATTACTCGTAGACGTCTTTGCAGTCAAACAAGAAAATGATACTTTCTAATTAAGTATAAAAACTACCGATACATTCTTTCTACACAACAAAGATAATAATGATACAAGACTTGTCCACAGGATGACTACGTTCAAACATGAACCTCAAAGTAATAATCAGATTTCTTTCCTGGATGTTTTGCTAACTAGATAAGATGGAAAGTTTGGTAGGTCAGTATAAAAAAAAACACAAGTAGATAGAGAAGTATAGGTAGTTCGTAGCTTAATCCCAGTGTAGTAGAAGGAAAGTTGGTCGGATACCTAACCAGCAAAGTTATGAAAATATGTTCTCATGTTAGATAATGAAGTTTGATTATTTATTATTAGAACACAAAAGTGGTACAACAGGAGCACCAAGAAATGCGCCACACAAAATAACATCACTATTTTGAAGATATAAAGTGAGGGGAAGTGGATAAAAATAAAACACAATAAGAATAGAATGATTAGAAGAGCACTCCCGTAAGCTACATTCAAAACGAAACATTCATTACTTTTCAGCAGCAGAAGATAGGAGGAAGCTACACCATGACCGCCACTGGTTTTTATTCTGAGCCATATCTGATAACATCTCAAGCCACTGAGCTACGTGATTTCTCGGACCCCACCCAGGAAATCGTGATGAACCAACAGATGCTAACTCAATACAACTATCCTTTATCTCACGGCTCCATGTCATACACTGACCACCCCTGCGCTTCTTCCGTTCAATCCCAGGGTTAGCAAACAATGAACAGCGTGGAAGCCACCGAAGCTGGTGTCTCCAGATGACTTTATTTGCTAAATGACGATCTTAATCATGCTGAAACACGCTGTCGTACCTCAAAATTACTTACATGGTGTTACTACTCGATACGAGCAATCCTACGAAGAAAACGATGATCGAACACACAGAGTCGTCGCATATCCTCAGCTCGGAGAGGTCAGGTTTCACAGGAGTAGAGCAGAACTGTTCACACTGAAGCGTTGTAAACCCGACCTTTTACGGTCAGACTAACGTCGAGACGGCGCTAAACGTGACACAGATTGAAGCATGACCACTCCGGCTTTCGATATGCAGTTAGAAATTTCACAACTCACACCTCCATCAGAACTCATAGAACTACCCAGAAACACGAACTTTCCGGCTACTTCCAATCTTGCTAGAGTACTTTGAACTTTAATGGTGCAAAGCACACATCATATTCACAGATAATGAAGTGCAAAAGCCTAGAAACTTAGTAGGAGAGAACAGTTATCTAGGTAAGTTAACAAAGAGAAATATGATGGATAGAGTTACATAAGTAGAGAAACAGACAGTTCTTAAAAAGTTATTTTTTCTAATACAAAGGTGATATCATTTTGGAACTGCTAACAAACCGTCTGCGAAAAAGATGAAAACACCTTCCCTACCACCGCCCTAAAAATCATGTACGGATCGATTATGTAACATAGCACCCATCTCTAGTTTTTTATAGGTACTCTCACTAATCATCGGTAAATGTTATTATAGGAATTTTCCAAGAGACATTTGGACATAAAGTACGTTGGACACAAACTGTGATTAGTCAATCTAGTTTAGTGTTGTGGTTATTTTTCGAAGCGTCGTCTAGTATACCCATATATTCATGAATCGATAACTTATTTTCTACACATAAGTGATCTTATATGCAAAATGACCGACACAAATGAAGTATTAAGGATAACATGCTGTAAAGCTTCATTAGTGCATAAACTGTGAACTAAAAAAGCTTATAATGATTACTAAAATATTCATTTCTTCAACATATTGAATTTGTTTGTTTGTTTTTAAAAACACCGCTTTTTTTGTTTACAATGAGCGGATTAAAACATACCTCAGTTTTAAGATTTAAACTGACTGCTAAATGTTCAATTGGTATAATTTTTGCTTCTTCAATAGCTTGAATAATTTGTAAATTAATTAAAGCTTCTGTCTTGTTATCTTGTTGTGGAGCTTCAATTCCTTCTTCTTCAATAATAAATTCTTGTTTTAAACGTTCATATTCAGCTTGTTCACGTGCTGCCTCCTCTTCAAGTCGTTTAGCTTCAGCTGCCGCCTAATTTTAAAAAAATAAATAATTTATGAAAATACTGAAAGTTTAACAAAATAACAGTGGTTTTGGTTATCGTTATAGATACCTACGAAAAACCAAAATACTTCTTGTATATGAATGGATGGTTGTTTATTGTTTAAAAAAAAAAATCGACACATCAATGTACACAAATGTATTTTTGACATAATAGTTAAGATAATCGACTTGTAACAGTAAGGTTACGGACCAGAACTATGGTTTGAGTACATAAGGCTGAATAAAAAAGTAATATTAATAATATTTACATAACAGACACTACCAAACTGGTGTACGATGATAGCACTGCACTACAGTTCTCTCTCCTTTTATACAGTTATGAGAAATGCTTTTTGAAAGTAGAATATATTAGGAGATAACAAGTTTTGGATTACAAGTGTCTTAGTAGCATTGATCGTGTATAATAGAATCACGATGTAAACAATAGCGAGGTTAAGTGCAAGTCACGAAACAATGGAAGCAAGTTAGTTGATAAAGTTGTGGACTTACATCGACTGAAGTGACTTGAACATGTGCTGCTTATGATAAGCCATCGCCTACCTCAATGAGCTTTGGTAGCCAAGGTAGGATTGGTTTGTAAATAGGCTAAACGTAGTCATACCACGGCTTAGTATCAGTCCATGAAGTCTGGTTGTTGGCTTGAGTCGTGTAGGATGTATAGACTGGTTGTCCCGAGTCCTCGAGAAAAGAAAAATGGATAGTCAGAGAGCTTACGTTACAAGATTGAAAATCGGTCACAATGGAGCACATAAATTCAAGGTAGAAGGTATCAAGAGGAAAGATATACAAAGTAATCAAAATTAGTGCGATGAGACGAAGAAGAGATAAAGCAATAGTGAAACTCGGTATGACGATTAAGATGAAGATAATGTCTGGATTTATCTGTGCTCGTGATAACGATTCTAAGCAATATTCACCCAGTCGTCAACTACCACCTCCGGTCGTCACGTGGACCCAGACCGTGAGGTCCACACTTCGTTAAATGGTGCAGATCAACTGTCAGAGACTTCACAGACTGATATCACGTCTTAGTCTGGCTACCTCTTACCCCCTTTTCAACCTTAACCTACTTCAGCGAACAAGGCAGATGATAGCTAGGCATGCGTAACACATGCCCGTCATTTGCGTCATTGAGGGTCCGCTACAGGAAAAGAAAAACTAACTAACACATGTAGTTTTTTAAAATAGGTCCTGGAACGTAGTTGCATATAAATTGATAAAAGCCTCAAGTGTATCGTGGTCATATTGATCAACATCACAAAACTGTTAATTGCAACTAAGTATAATTGTTAAGGTGAAACAAAACTCACTGCGGCCGCTGCAGCTTTCTCTTGTGCTTCTTCCTCCTTCTTACGTTTTTCAATTTCTTTGTCTTCAATTTTCCTCTGGTGTTCACGATAACGTTCTTCAGCTTCTCGTTCCTCTTTTCGACGTTCCTTTTCAGCCAATTTCGCTGCTTTTTTGGCACCAACTTTCTTCTTTTGCGTGTCTTTCGATGTGCTTTGATTATCATCTGATGCTTCTGCATCAGGATTTTCCATTACATTCTCAATGCGTCTGTCATCTCTCTCAGAATCTGATGTATCTCTCATCCGAGCAACCGCACGACGTTGTCCTCCAACATGGGCAGCACGGCGTCGCACTCCACCAGCAGTAGCTGCAGGACGTGCACGATGATGAGATCCACCTGAAGGCAAAAACAATTTTCAACACCAACTACTCTTTTAAAAGAGTCAACACGCATTTTTATAGGTATTTATAAAGTTGGAATGTTGAAAAAGCTTATGGAGGAAACAATGAAATCAAAGAAACAAAAACATCATGACCAAAAGATGTTAATAAGTGATATATATATATATATATATATATATATATATATATATATATATATATATATATATATATATATATATATATATAGTGGACTGCTTGGCAGGGGTCCTCGAGACGATAAGAATCAGTGGTTGAGGACTCTTCGTAACATGGCTGAAAATCGGTCTCAGTTGCGCAGGTGTATTCACTCTTTAACATCTTCTAAAGTTTCAATGTTTTGACTAACCTTCATTCTTAATGTTTTTCTGACATACATTTTTGTCTAATTTGATATCATTTTTTTCTATCTGGTTCATTGTATACTACTGTGAAGTGATGGAGATGGAGTAGTATACAATGAACTACAAGATAGAAAAAAAAATGATATCAAATTAGACAAAAATGTATGTCAGAAAAACATTAAAAATGAAGGTTAGTCAAAACATTGAAACTTTAGAAGATGTTAAAGAGTGAATACACCTGCGCAACTGAGACCGATTTTCAGCCATGTTACGAAGAGTCCTTAACCACTGATTCTTATCGTCTCGAGGACCCCTGCCAAGCAGTCCACACCACCCTACACCATTCATATCAACAGTCAGAGGACTCATACACTAGTGCCACGTTTTGGTCTGGTCACCCTAAGAAGTCTTCCAATATAATCCAACTTCCTTAAGCATCGCACTTCGGGGTAGGCAGTTGTTCAGCATGCGCAGTACATGTCCAAGCCATCCCATTCGGCAAAAGTCCATAACTTCATCAATCGACTTGCCCATCTTGCTTAGCACTACTCGCCTAACCCTTGACATTGCTTACATGGTTATTCCATCAAGCGCGAGAAATACTACGAAGACACCTGTGGTCAGAAACTTCATATCTTCTCATTTGAACGGCTATGCCTCACAGCAGTATAACACGACAGAACGGACAGCAGTGCAGTATACTTGTTCTTTAATAATTAATCAAATATCTCAGTCGGTTGTACAGATGACGCATGTTGGCAAATGTTAACCAGGCCCTTTGCATTTCGTCGGCAACTAGCCTGTTCGACCAGATGCGATTCCCAAAGTAATTGAAGCGGTTGGAACATTTCATCAATACACTACCAATTACTTGGCTTGAAGTAGTTGTAGACCAGTACTGGAGCATCAGTTTGCATTTGACAGGTGCAAGCGAAACGGATGCCAAACATACTCAGATTTCTGTTCAATGTATTTAGAAGAACTTGCATTTTGTCAGCGTCTTCACCTAGCAAGACAAAATCGTCTGCATACTCCAAGTCAACCAGATAACCTTCAGGAAGTGGGTCGATCCTTTTGAAGTCAGACGTACCTGAGGTTACGTTAATTAGTACGTCTATAACAAAGTCCAATAGGAACGGTGACAGTGGTTATTCCTGGTGGATACCACTAGATGTCGTCAATTCAGATGATAACTCTCCAGCAGCCAAAACATGGCTGTTCGAGTAGAGAGCTTTGATTAGCGCTACATACTTGCTTGGCACTTCCTTTACACTTAGACACTGACACAACACCTCATGGTCGACTGAGTCACATGCTGCCTTCAGGTCAACAGATATGGGCAAGTATCGACCACCGGTAGGTATGCCTGTGTCCCAGAACCTGTCATATGGTAGAAATATGATCGATACAGTCTCATTCACCTTGGTCTGAAACTTGCCTGGTTTCCTCGAACTCCACATAGGTGACGGATCACTATGCACCATGAGATCTCGGACACAATATTAGTCACACTGATTCCCCTATCGTTGTCACAAGAAGATTTCTCTCCCTTTTTACGGACAAAGATGATCAGAGAAGTACACCAGTGTGACAATACTACCTCTAACTCCCACTCAGTACCTAGTACATCTATCACTTTAATTATTAATTTCCTACCTCCATCCTCCGTAGAGAGCTGTCAAGTCCTGCTGCTTTGCATCGTTTCAGCTTCTATACAGCTACCTCAACTTCAAGGAGAGTTTAGGCACCGACATAAACGTCCCATTCAGGTTCAGGCTGGATGTTGGGCGAGTGAAGCTTTGCTAAGGCCAAGTTAAACTGTGTTTCAAAGTATTCTGCTCAACTTTCTAGGTGCCTGACCTGGGAGGTTATCAGCGTTCCATCCTTTTCATTGTGCTGGTTTCATTAACCATCGTTTTCTTGTTGCTGGTATCCCTAATAAACCTAAATATTTCCCGAATGTTACCTAACTCTGATCCCTTCTCCATCTACATCGCGGTCATCGTGGTCAGAGCAAGCTAGAATCAGTCTCCACGCATCAACCAGTTCGGATGGCGTCGTAGAAATCCAATGGCATTTGCTAGCCTTCGGATGTATGTTACCAATTGTCTTTACCGCTGTTTCAACAGCAGACCTAATATCACGCCAGGATGAGCATTACTGTCGCGTTCATGTAAATGCTTAGCTAACACCTCTCTAAATGCATTAATGGCGTCCTCATCTACCAATCGAGCACAGATGGGCCTCACTGCCTCCTGTTTTCTGCGACAATTAGCGAGCAGACATACATGAGTCCATATTAGCGCGTGATCAGAGTTCAAACTGCTGCTCCACAAAGAGAGGCAATTTTCCACCCATCCTCTCCAACGATGGCTGGCTTACAACAATGTGATCTATCTGCGACCATCGTTGTTTTGAAGTCGGTGTACGCCATGTGAAACAATGTCTCTCCTTATGCTTGAAGTTAGTGCTGGTCAGGAATCAGTGATTGTCGGAGCGAAATTGCAAAAGACGATCATCGTTGTCGGTTCGTTGGTAGTGGAGTAGAAACCTCCAAGATACCTTTCCAGTTGGCTCAACTTTCTCACTTGAGCGTTAAAGTCACCTGCCATTGACTATATCTGAACGTTTTGCTTTCTGTAGCAAAGTTGACAGTTTCTCATAAAATTCATCCTTTGCATCATCCGAACTACAGTCGGTGGGTGCATAGGCCGAGGCTATGAGTAGGCATCGGCTAGTCTCACGGTCTTTTGTAGTCTTTACAGATCCACTCACTTGGACAGCACAGAGGCAGCTGTTTACTAGTATTCAATCGAGAAGCGCACTTTTGCTTTGCAGTTCAGTGTTATGTGAGTCCACGAGAGCTGGCCATTGGGTCTCTAAGTAATCTTAAGGTGAATTTTGAAGATTCACTACTATGGTCATGTGAGGTCAATTTAATAAACACACCTGAGTCCTGTATATGTGTTTCAGAGATATAGCGTACATTCTTGTCTCCAGATTCCAGAGTTCTGGATAGCAATGTTTGTTGTTCAAATTTGGCATAGAGTTCGGACGTTAAAGGATCCAGTGTGGAAGCAACAGCTGGGTCTTATAAGCCTAGGAATGGTATTTCGTTGGCTTGGATCTCTGGCAATGGTCGTAGAGTAAGAGGTTGACGAAGTGATAAGAGACTTAATATTGATTTCAGGAAGTGTAGGCGAATTGGGAGAAAGGTGAAGGGGTTAGGTTATTTTAGACTGGACCTTGTATAGCACTGAAGCATGAGGGTGGTTGAAACTTTCTGGCTGCCCACACCGTGAAGTCATTTTTGCAGGGTACCCAAAAAAGGAAAAACGAAAGATTTGCGTAACCGCGATGCCCATGAGACATCTGCTTGAGGCCTATATTACACAGCCTCATGGGGAATTGTGGGTTCACGGTTTGGCTGTTCGAACGCCGGATAGAAAAGCCCATACTGCTGGCTCTGAAAGGCATCAAAGCTAACCTCTCCTTCTCACAGGGAAGGTAGCATCAGCACCGTACTGTCGGTCGTCCAAGAGAAACAGTTTATTGCTGTCACACCAGCCAGCCAGCAGTAAAACTTCACCCTCAGGCCTCCAGCACAGCGTAGCAATTTACACTACGATGGTAACTGCTTTTCCTTTCACCAATATCCGAAAGACGTCTCTAGCATGACAAAGTCGAGAGAACACGCGTTTCAGTGTACCTCAATGGGTCATTGTACTATACAAACCGAGCCACTACGTTAAAATAGCAGATATCGGTCGTGGCAAGCCACCTCAGTGGGGAGAGGTCCACAACATCAATTGACTGCTTTTCTTGCTTCGTGACTTCCACTTAACTGCGATATTGTTCACATCGTGATTTCACTATACACTTATAATCTAACATATTCTACTTTCGATGAGCATTTTCCATAGCCGTATAAGAGGAGAGAGGACTGCAGTGTGATGTACTTATTTTTCAATAAGTAGTCGGATGTCTCTTCAGTGCTAGAAATAGCGTGAGTTGAGAAGTACCAAACGAGCCATTTGTATTCAAGCTGAGATTTCATTCACAACGGACTCATTTGAAATGGAGCTTAAAGTGCTCAACTTATTCCATCACTTCTCTGCGTATGCTTAAACCAGGAGTTGATGTAAACTAGTGAACTCATTTTGAAAACAGGTGAATTTTTTCCACGCTTTTGACATTTTTGGCTTTGGTTGTGTAATCCATATCAAAGGTTTTCTGAAAAGCCTTAAGTTGAAGTAATTCAGTAGGCATTTGGAGTTTTACCATTTTGAGACTTGAGGTTGGTTTTTGGAAACGTATTTGTTTTCTCAAAGTTAAGAAAACAAACAACTCATACAGGTTAGGCTTTTAACCATGTGTTGTAGTTGATCGATTTTGCTGTAATACTGTAACTCGAATCTTTCTGGACCAACTTTGATGGAATACTTCAGTTCAGGTACGGCTTTAGTGGGAACTTGATCTTAATTGTCAATCTCATGGTTAGGTATAATCATGTTTGCGGTCAACCCGGTTGCCATTTCTCAGCTGAGGCAAGTATGCAACGTGATGTATGTGGATGTTGATTCCCAAAGTTTGTACCAGATTGACATCAACCGTGTACAAGTGTTGCAGTAAA